GCCGATCTGGCTGTACAACCGCGGGTAAAGATAATCATAAGGAGCCGCAGATCGGCAGGATCGACGCGTAACGCGCGCTCCGTGATTCATTCTCCTTCGCGAGTATACTTGCGATCGACTTTGCTTTCCACTGCAAGTGGAACTTTGTTTCAAGGTAGAGTCAAGTTGAAAGTATCACAAGTAGGAGTTATCGTAGTAAACGTGAAGGGTATGCTTAATATCTTTGAGAGTTATCGTGTGAAAAGGAAGAAATTTAAGGCGAAAATGAAACAAAGCGTGATGTATAGATCGTCACTAGTTCAAGTCCCTTAAATCTCCACCAAATTCAAACAGAGCATCGATAAAAAACGGAGGCTTCGCAACCGATCAAATTAATCTTGATCGAATATCACCGCGAATTAGGTATATCGATTGACTTCGAAAATCAAAGCTGCCATATACTCCTTTAACCGCAATACACACTCCCTTGTTCAACCAATAAATTACCATCCCGCCAACACCCCAACTTCACCCCAACTATACGCGCCGTTCTCCAATCTTCTTCGCTACTGCCGTATCGTGACAGCCTCTTCAACTAAACCTCACAAAAAAAAAAAAAAAGAAACAAAAAAACCCAATTGCCACCGATGCAGTCATTCACCGATTCTAAAAAAAAAAAAAGAGAAACCTTTCTCCTATTTGGTAGACGTTGCACACACGCTCTGTTCTCTGTTGGAACCGAGGCGGAAGGGTTGGGTAGCCATCGGAGGAACGGGCAACAAACAGCGGCAGCGGGAATAAAGTGGAGTAGACCGGAATAGAGTACAAGGTGTATGCCTAGAAGGTACAGAGAGAAAATGGTAGCCAATGGCGTTGGCTCGGCGTCGTTGCTACAGTATTGAACGTCTCCTACGTGGGGTCCAGATCTCTCTCTCTCTCCCTCTCCCGACGTCTCTCTCTCTATTGCTCGCCCGTTCCTCACTCCACCCCTCCCTTTCCAGCCTCTCAAGCTCCGTTTCCTCCTGGTCCTCCTCCTCCTCCACCTCACTCTTCCTCGCTCCTCGACATCCTCATCCTCCACCTCTTCCTCTTGCCACCGCTGCAGCTAGCATCGTCACTCGCGCGCGCGCGCGCGCACACACACACACAGACACGTATACACAGAGTATCGGTATCTCTCTTTCTGACGATCACGCCGCCGGTCTTCCGTCTCCGTTCTTCCCTCTGACGGCTTCTCGTGACCCGACGACGTCCTCTCCCTCTACGTGCCGTGGTCCCAGGGTGGAGACCCTCCCTCTCTGCGCCTCCTTGCTCCTCTTCGTTTCCCCGCGGCGTCCGCCAAGCGCGCTGGCTGGAGGTGGCAGGCCTTCGCTTCGCCTGCTGCCTCACTCCCTCTCCTCCTTCTCATTCTCTTTCTCTTCTCTCGCTCTCAGCCGTCCCTCTGTCCAGAGAAGAGGAGAAACCGCCTCTCTATCCTCTCATTAATATACGGAGACACGGCCGGCCGGTCTACCAGCACCAACCAGGGTAGCACTTCGATTGGCTGCGGCTGCGTCGCGACATTTCCACGGTACGCGGAACGTACTGTGGCTGTCGAGGAAGTGCAAGACGGAATTGGACGGTTCGTTCGTTCTTCTGTCGCGATGAGATCTGGACGGGAGCTTGGTGCGAGGATGGTCAGAAAGACCACGTCCCCGGCGTCGGGGACGAGATTATTGATTTTTGGGCAGACAGGTGTAGCGGTTTGGTTTTTGGGAACATAGGATGGAGTGGACAGTTCGTTTGTCATTTTTGGTTTGTTTGTTTATTCATTTGTTTCGAAGGAATCCGCTAATTTGACACGAATATCTTTAATTATCTCGTTCACTTATCGAGAATTCCTTAATCGCTGAAAACTATTGCAAACGAAATTTCAATTTCAAAATCTTGGAAATGATTGACAGGAATCCCATACCGTAACTAAACGAAGAACGTTTCGTCCAAATTCGTCTGCTATGTTGACTTGAATCGGCACCGAGCAAGCGTGTCAAACCCCTCGAGGGTTGGAACTTAATTTCTTACGTTTTCGAGCCGCGTGGCGCCAGATTCCGCAACGCGATTCGATAATTGCCGTAATCTGGGAGCAGAACCTTTCCTTATTTCGGCCATATGCCGTCCAGCCTGGAGCTACATCCCCAACTACCGGTTGTGAAACTTCCTACTGGATTCTTTCTTGTTCTTTCTCTTCGCTGTGGACCCGGATATATATATTCGAAAGCCACGGCGTTCGTTATCTCTTTCTTTTTTTTTCCTTCGAAAACCTTTCAGGTAGTTGCAAGTGGAAACTGAAGACGTTACGAGTGATCATTGATCGAAGAAACGCGTCAATTTTTCCAGCGATTTGCACGTAGAACAAAAGTTGAATTGGTGAATCAAGTTTAGTGAAAATGTGTAAGACAACTCTTTCAACACTACTGGATACATTTATATCCCAAATGTAATTTAAAATATTGTTTTTCGAGTTAAATTTTATATATAATAAATAAAATGTTATATAATGTCAGCAGAGATTGCTTCATAAACACTGTTGATATTAGTAATAATTTTATGTCTGCAATTTTGAATTAGTACTATAAGTATCTCGATGAGTACTATAAGCCCTTCAAATGTCAGACTTCTTTTGTTCATTAATATATAAAGATACTTTGTGTTAATATATTTTAGTAGTCACTGTAATATTGCTGTATATATAAAACTATACTCACAAATACAGAATAATATATATTTTCTGTTGTTACATTTACTTATTTGCTCTTTACAGATGTATTTTCTGCTTTAGTTTATAAAAAAATATCTATCTGAAATAAATAAATGATCTAATCGTGCACTATCACGATAAAAACAGTCTATATACATGTTATCCCAGCTGTGACAAAAAAAAAAAAAAGGAGTAACATCTTTTCATTTTCCATTATAATGATCCAAAAATAAAAAGAAATAATATAAAATAAATATTAAATATTACACACGTAAGCATTCTTAAAAGACACATTACATTAAACATTATTATTAAAATTAATTAATATATACAAAAATACTTTTCTATGCATATATATTTATCAAAGAATTAAATTATCCTTTTATAGTCTTTAAATAATTTTTCAACATTTTTCGTTGAAATGTATTATATGTAAGTACATTGACGCCACAAAGTATCAAACAAAAGGAATAAAAGATATTAATAACAAAACGAACGATTTTTCTAATTCATGCATTGAAATTCAAGCAGACGAATCGTGGATAACATTGTTTTTCAATTTCAACTCGTATTTCGCAGAGGTCTAACAATTTCACGGGATTGTTACAGTTTCGAAACCACGGGCGATCAGAACTAATACCAAAGTTCTAAAAATAATCCTAGCGAACCTGTGTAATATAGCGGAAAAAAAAAACGAAAAAGATTCTTTCCCTTTTTTTTTTTGGTTCTACCTCCAGGATAATAGCTGTTCTTTTTCGAAATTTTTTTACATCAACAAAATACGAGAGAAATATATTGTCGCGAGCTGAAATTACTCAATTTCAGATGTCAAGTTTTTGATTGATTGTTATACAAGTTTTGGAAATTTATTTTATCGAATGAATACATACCTGAATTTATCACGTAACAGTTGCCGACTGTTTTCAATAGTTTTTTGTATCATGATATTTTTATGATTTGAAATGAATTCACAAAAAAAAAAAAAAAAAAAAAATCGATTCTCAAATCATCAAATTATGATGAATATTATTAAAAAATAACTTGAGTAAAAAAAAAAAGTATAAACTGGAACAAAATGTTATTTCGTTTCAACTTTTATCCGTCTCTCATTTTTCCAACTTAATTTTGTTCCTTGGCGTTAAACTGACACAATGGTAAATACCTGGAATAAAAAGATAGTAAAATTATTCTTTTATTCAAACTGAATTTTTATTCATACAAATCCTACTTTCTTAGGTTATGATTATTTATTTTAAACTTGTTGCAATTTATAGTTCTGAAACTATTTGTATGCATTTTCGAAAAGTTGGTGCATTGAATGCACAATTATAAAATAATAATTAAAAGGCAATTATTAGAGTGGCAGGTGTCTTTTTCTGTATTTACAAGTCTGACAGAATAACTTGCCAACAATAACTTGAAAATTTGTAATAATTAAGCTAATAAAGACTTTCTATTCAATTGAATAAAAAGAACGAAATAAAACTACTTAATTGAACATAATTAGCATTAATCTGATTCCGGTACCTTTGTTAGTTGAAGGAGATATCTTTTAATAAACATTTCAATTTCTTGGAAATTTTTGAATTTCTCGGAAAATCCATTTACAATGACTAAATGACTCGTATGATCAAACATTTTCATCCTTATGAATTCTGGTAGATGAATCGAAGTATCATTCCCGTTCCAATAAGACACGCACTTCCGGTTGATCATCAATAATAGCTGTGCAAAACTTTTCACTGTAGCTATTTTATTTAACTCCGATGCACGATTCAACGGAATGCAATTCCACGTACCGCAAAGCCTAGTTCGATGCATTAAATCGATGCTCCGACGTTACTGCCTGTTTCGAAAGTTTTTAGCTGGTGGAATCCTCTGGATAATTCACATTACTCGAACAGATTATCCCATCTACTCTTTCTAACTCACCCCTCGAGAATGGATGAGAGTTTCTGAAAAAAAAAACAGAAAAACAAAAAAAAAAAAAAAAAGAAACACAAGAGAAAGGAGAAGAAGCTTGTCACATAAATAATGGAATCAATTTCTATGTTTTTTCGAAAATAAAGGAATCGACAAATTGTTTTGAAACTGGATATAGTTCGATAGGAGATGACAAACTTGCTCTTTTTTTTTTAACGCAATTACAGATATCGTTATTTATTGATTTTTTTTTTTTTCGTACAAAAGTATAATTTTTAATAGAACGTAATAATGAGCTATAAATTTTATACGCTTTTATACCCTTTCTTTCCCATTTTTTTTATTTTTTTTTTTTATTAAGTATCATCCTATTAACTAACGATTTTAACATTGATCTTTAACGATACTGTCTTTCTTTTGATCGTATGATGATAAACATATCACATAAAGTACACTTTCAACAGTGGTCTTTCGTGTTTAATTACGCAAATTTCTCAAGTTAATATTGAATCTTTTACAAAAATATATCTTTGTTATATTAAACATTGTTTGCATCAATTTGCATTACTTTGTTTTTAAAAAGTCATCGACGACCGCAGCGTTTATTAAATTTGTACAAAAAGAAGAATCAGATCCATATACAGTGTTAACGCGAAAACTTTTCAGTTTGTTCCCTGAATCCTCAACTGGTATCATTAGGTTATTAATAACGCATAACAATTTAGCAAAGTGAAGATTTTCGATTATTTCATTTTAGTCAATTTTCTGTAAATTACTATTCATTTCTAAAGATCCATGAAAAGGGGAAATATCAAGGCATTTCTTAAAAAACGGAAACTTATTTTTTAATATATCGTATCACAACTTTATGTTTTCTCGTATATTAAAATAAATATAAAATTCAAAAAATTTTAATTCGTAATGTGATATAGTTAGTGATTAGGAATACATATAGTGTGACATAGTTGGAATATTATAGGAACGTGCTAAAAAATGTTATATTCAACATTTATAAGAATTGAAATTTTCCCTTTTCTCCATGGACTCGTTTATATTTTATAATTAAATAATACAACTTTAAATTGATGATTGCGATCGATACTAGATAAGCGTCACTGCAATATTGATCCATATTTAGAAAGTAATGGCACTAATTAAATTAGATTATAAATACAAGTCGATTTTAACAATTAAAAACAAGCAGATTTTAAATCGACGTAGCAATTTGTTTCAATTACATAGCTTAAAATACCACTTTAAAATATTGCAAATGACATATTTCTAAACATGGATCGAATCGATCTCTTTCCAAAACTTTAAACTATATAACTAGAAGATCTTTATAAAGTAATTTCATTTCGGAGTGAAGTACGATGTTAATTCCGTCAAATCTTTCTTCCTTGGAGCTAAGATATACGACCAATTATTTGGCAAAGGAAGCTCTTCGCTGATATGTTCCTTTCTGACATTTTCATTGACATACCAGCAAGCTTTGGAAAGCATCGGTCCCTCATCTGGACACAGCATCCACTTCCCAATCTCGCAAATTTTCTTCAATATACTAATTTTTGAGAGCTGATTTTCAGTTCCATTGTTCTTCTTATTCCAGTAGGCTATGAACTCTTTAACAAGATATTTTTTGCTAGACGTGTTTCCATGTACTAGCCGAATCAAATCTGGTATGGCTGTGTCTGGAAATTGTGTCTTCTTCGGCGTTTGCTGCTTCATAGGTGTGTTACAGTTGCTGTTTATCGAGCCTTCATTTGTAGTTGGCAGTGACACCGGTATTTGATATACCCAGGCCTCTCGGGCTGATAGGAAATCGACAATTTTTTGTGATACTGAAAACAAATGAACGTTAAATATTCTAAAAATTAAAAATCAGCTTGATCTTCTAGATTGATTTTTAGAAATATATATATAATATTTTAGATTTTGGATATCGAATATTTACCGTTTGATGGAAATTTGTTCTCACGTTCTTTCCAAACGCAGCCTACTATTTTTGGCTTCAATTTCGCGGTCTTTGCATTCCTTTCGGATTCAAACTGTTCTCCGAGTAACTTCAACTTGAACTTTTGTATTTCAGGATTCTGTGAAAACGAAATTAATAATTATTCTTAATCTATCTAATCAATCTTGATATTTTATTCTTAGAATGTGGATTTTTGTACGTTACAACAGAAAATTGCACAAAACGCACATAATGTGAAAAAATATTCGCAATATAGTGTTCTCCGTACGTATATAAAAATAATTTTCTATCAAGATTACACCTTTTCAATTACATTTTCAAAAATATGAATTTACATCAAAAATCCACTGTCTAATTATTACTTATTCCGAAACTAACCACGTCTTCCTTATCTTCTTCGTCAGCGCGAAGCTCTTCGTCGGACAAGTACCTAAATCATAAAAATGAAGATTCGTATTACGAGACAGAAAATATTAGATTAAACGCATGTCCAAGTATCGAGAACGAACTATTAACTCACCCGTGAGGAACCATGAAATCGTTGTCTACATCGTACTCGTTGTCCTCCGGATTTTCTTCATCTTTCTCATCGTCAGAACCACGCAAAGATTCACCTGGTTCTTCTTCCTCCCATTCTTCCTCCGAGTCTATCTCATAATTGAACCACTCCTTTAAAAAAAGAGAGAAAGAGAAATATATGTACATTGTGTTAAAATTAGAATTTTTTTTAACGAGCACAATCATCACAGATACCGTGATTTTAACGCGAGGCATTGAATGATAGATAAGAGGCGAAAGAAGTGCAAAATATGATGTGTTATGAAGTTGCTGCGAAGAAGTAATCTATTAAAGTGCGATTAAAGGCTCGAATCATTTTTTTTTTTTTTTTCTTTTTTGCCGCTGATAAGAACGAAATGCTGAATAGCTGGTAATAATTACGTATCATAAATTTTTACTCAAGGTTCGTTTCAAAACTTTGTTAAAAGTAAAGTAAAGAAATTATCAGCGCGCATGCAACTGTGCAATTATTTTGTCGATCGTGTTTCCTGACATATAGGTATCTTCTACTATAGGAATAATCTGCAATTGCTTCTCCGCCAATCGCGAGGTAAAATCCAAGCCAATTCGTTTCCCATTTGAACGTCTTTTTCTCGAATAAATTTTTCGAAAAATCTTCTTTTTACCTTCGTTTCAACTTGAAACGCATTTCACTAGGAATCCCCCGACCTTGATCGTTTCCCGTAATTTTGCTATTTCGCGAGAACATTATCGGCTCGTCCACGGAGTTTATTTTAATTATGATCACGGCCACGGGACTTCACTGTAGTCTGGAGCATGATTAAGCAGGACGTCGGTATCAATGCGACTTCCTTGACGGGAGATATCGCTGGCGCACGTGCTGCTCTTCTCTTCTCTTCTCTTCTCGACGATTCTTTTGCAATTAGTCGCCGAGTGACACTCGACGAATCGGTGCTCTCGAAATGTGTGATTATTATCGCAAACATCAACCCTTCTGACGCGTTGTCATCGTGCGACAGCAGTCGCAGATTAAGGAAAAATTAAACAAGAGTGGAAAAACGCGAATTTTATAAATCTTTCGATTTCACGCTCAACACATTGGTCGCTTCTTGCGCAAAATTTTTAATGAAAGTCAGATCAACCTGCAACGGAGGATCGAAGGAATACAGTGTTCTCCGAAGATGGGATTTTCGAGCTAGTTCACGCAAGTGTGATCTTCGGCGTGGTCACAAAAGGACAAACAACTGAAGAATTCATAATGGGAGAGTGATTCATAAAAATGATATTTCTAGAGATTGATTCAACGAGCATGAAATAAATAGCATCTACATCTATGTAAATTGTATTGTCCGATGGAAATTCGTGTCTGAGTCGTGACTTTCTCAAAGAATCGGTAAACTGCCATCTTCCACAGAATAATTCTTTGATGAAAAGCAAATTAACTTGGTAGCTTGTATTATTAATGCTTAGTACCTATATTTATTAATTTATTAAAAAGAAAAAAAAAAAAAACAAGCATGCATCTAATTCTAAATTGTACACCAATTATTCTCTTATTTCCTTCGTTTTCAACTTCTTTAATCAGATCAGTTTCAAGATCAGACTGACATTAGACTCGAATTTTGAAGGATTTCGAGGTTCGAAACTCACGTAGCTTTGTGAGCTGCGATCGATCGAACGGGACGACGAAACAGACCGATCTATCCAATCGTGCATCGGGCCGAAAAGTCAATAAATCGTCGGTTTTCTTGTTGTTTGCGGCGCGAGGCGCGGGCCAGAGCTCGCTCGATAAATCAACGTCGATTTGATCCCCGCGCGGGCATCAATTACAGGACCTTCCCTTTGACATTAATTTATTAGCGGTGGAAAACGTAATATCGCGAATGATCGGCGATCTAACCGACGTTCGTGACGTGACGCGGAAAACTGGCAAACAGAAGGGATAAGAAAAGAAAGGACGACCACCAGTCGAGCAGCTTTTGGCAGCGCAGCAGAGGTGAGTGTTGATTTCTTCAACCCCTGAAAGATGTTTTTCGTTACCAAGGCTCGAACAGATTATTTGCATTAACTCGTTAAAGATCAACAGTGTTGCATTAACGTTGCAACATTTCACTTGCGGCTCTTCCCAATCGATTTGCATTACAAAAATTTCATTTTTTTTTTTCACACTGTGGCTATAAAAGGGAATTTTCGTGGATTTGTTTAATAATTTTTCATCATTCGACGAAACACAATTTTACGAGATGTAAAAAATTGATTTTCTTAATATTGCAATAAATTGCTTGATCCTCGATGGATTAATTAATATAACTGAACTTTTATTAGGTTAATTTTCATAACTGAACTTTTATTAGGTTAATTTAATAACTGAACTTTTATTAACTTAATTTTAATTGTAATCGATGGATTAATTAATATAACTGAACTTTTATTTAGGTTAATTTAATAACTGATCTTTTATTAACTTAATTTTAATTTTAATTGAACGGCTTTTATTTTTATTTCAATATCCTTAATTTTTTTGAAATTTCAATATCCTTAATTTTTATTTAAAAAATATATCGTAATTATCTGATGATTCAAGTATTAATTATCAGATTAAAAATCTAGTATAAAAAGCTTCAATTTAATGTGTTTAATTTTAACTTCTAGGAGTATCATCTGTTTAATTTCTAATTTATAAAGAAATGTACCGATTCACATCCATTTAATAAAATAATATATTTAATTTTTTCATGAAAACTAGCAATAGACTAGGCTGCACTACTGATTTTGTTTGTTTAAAAAAAAAATCTGAAAAACAGAAGAATCAAAAAAGATTACAGTGAAATTAAAGTTCTGAATTGTATAATTTATAAACTTTTGAATAACGTTTAAATCAAGCAACCTCGAGTGCTAATTTTCTCTTTGTAATTTGTCCAAATTTTATCCTATTTTTTTTCCATTTAATGTACAGTAAAGAGAACGCAACACCCGAAAATATGGTGAAACTTGGTTGGCGTTAGCGTTGACAGAACATTTGATACTTTTTCGTGCATGCCACAAGCACCATTGCTCGACTCTCTTCCAACGATCGTGTCCGGTATCGTCAAGTGCCATTTAAGCAGATAAAACGTATCTCGAAAAATTATGTCCGGCTACCTCTGCACTGTTTGTCCTCACACTTTTACGAGACTATTCGATACCGAAAGGACTGGTGTCGGTCAATTTCAAAGAGCTGCAGCACTTATCCCTACCGAATCATCAATTAATCCATTATATAGAAAATTAATTGTTTCAGTGTCAGCACTTTGCGCGAAGAATTATTTTTTCTTATAATTTATTACTTGTGTAAAAAATCGATTAGTAGAATTAGATTTAACCATCGTTCTTCTATAAGCAACATATATTTGAAAGAATAAAATCGAGTTAAAGTTAAATTAAATCTGAAAGAAAGTTAAAGTGGAGTTTGTTCAATCTAATCCATTTTAAACATTTTCGGACACGGTTCGTTGACAAAGATTCTGTAATTTATACAGATTGTGTTGTTTATGTTTCGTTAACAAAGATTCTGTAATTTATACAGATTGTGATGTTTATGTTTAATAAGTTATGCACTTTCTTTTTTATATAATATATCAAGTCGATGATCCTTTAACGATTACTTAATCTTTCTCAATTTTTTTTTAAAACCAATACCGTTTACAAGCCAAGGCGATTAATCTACTAATTTTTTCAATATTTTTTTAAATTTTAATGCCAACGCTGCTAAATTTCTTTTAGCTATAAAATAATGAATAACTTATTTCAGAAATATGATTATTATCCCAAGGATACACAAATTTATGCATTTTCTGTGTCGTTAAATAAAAACACTATAATATTTACTTGAATATAATAAAAAAAAAAAGTAAAATAAGCAATTTTATCATATCTTTCCTTTTATGAAGTTTATCAATTTAGCAAATGAACGACTTGTAGAATACTTAACTATGCTAAGGTCCTTTTTAATTATCCCAAGAGAGGATATCTTACCCTTTTTATAAGATTCCGGCATCAGTTTAACGTCGGATCAAGAAAAGAAAAGAAAAATCTCTCAAATTTTAAAGCAAATAATTAAAAGAGGGGGGAAGATGACGGGTTTAATCTGGGAAATCGTAGCGTCATCTGGAAAGACGCGTCAGAGGAAACGCGGTTATCGGTGGAACGCGACGCGTAACTTTGAAACGATGCCTGGCGAAAGCGGCGGTAGATTATTTACAGCGTGTTGTCACCCATCGGGCCATCTGTAATGGCTGTTTTATGCCCCATTAAGATTATAGTTGGTGCTCCTCGTCGTTGAAACACCATAGATTAAAATCCCTTGCACGTCGAATTGATTTATTATTTGAATATTCGGCGGTGATACGCCCGATACGTCGTGTCTTTGCTCGTTCTGCCCTTTTTACCTCTTTCTTTCACGATGTTAATAAAGTGAATTGTTCATTTGCATCTCATCTTATAAATATCGATGTTATACCTCGTCAATGAAGTCACGAATTTAATTAACATCCGTCCCTCAGTTTTCCAACTTAATTTGTCCTGTAGCGTAAAATTGTCGTGATAGTAAACTGATTAATGGAATGAAAAAAATAAATAGTTTAACTTCCAAATTTATAATTCATAAACAATAGATTTCAATCGCCTATAAGATTTACAATTTACACAAATCCTATTGTCACGTATACTGTCGTGTTAAGTCAAAGGAGGTACCTGCTTAAATTTTAAATCAAGTCATTAATTCCAAGTACATTTACATTGAAGCAACAAACCACGTGAAAGTATAACAGTTTAATATTTCAGATATACAATATTATTAATATTGTAATATTATTTATTGATATTTATTACTATACAATATTATTAACATTGTAATATTATTTTATCTTTTTTTATAATATTATAATATTATCTTGCAGCGTAAAAGATTTTCTGTCAAACCACTTTTGATGAGATATTACCTATTTGAATTAATACGGCAGTACAGTTCAAAGTATGGCTGTTTACGTCTTCTGTTTCGAATTTTCATTTGTTACAATTGTTTCATTTGTTACAATATAATAATTTATGAGAACAATGCAATGCCTTTCCAGATTTCAAATATTTCGAAAACGAATATCTGAAATACTGGCAGTATATTTTGTTATCAAGAATGTATATTACATATTAAGAAAATAAATATCATAGAGCCACATCTTTACCTATATTTGCACGCTGCAAAATAATATTATAATATTATAAAAAAGATAAAATAATATTATAATATTATAAAAAAGATAAAATAATATTAATAACAATATTAATAATATTGTATATTAATAAATATTAATAAATAATATTATAATACTAATAATATTGTATATTAATAAATATTAATAAATAATATTACAATACTAATAATATTGTATATTAATAAATATTAATAAATAATATTACAATACTAATAATATTGTATATTAATAAATATTAATAAATAATATTACAATACTAATAATATTGTATATTAATAAATATTAATTAATAATATAATATTATAAATAATAGTCAGTGTTTACGATTAGTAATAACGTACCTAATTAGTATCTACGTACCAACAGAATTATCACAATAAAACAAAGATGTCCCTAAATTTCATTCGTTCCAAAAGAAAACAACGAATTTCCTCAGTTTCGAACATGCACAGACAACATGGCACATTCGAGCAAGAATTATGTGGCAAAACTTTAAGAATCAAATATAAACTGAAAATTATGAATTTTTTTTTAAATGAAGTTTCGTATAAAACACACGTGTAAAATCTTACAATATGGAAGATAATTTTTCAACGGAACGAATCAGATACAAAAAAAAATTAGATATTTTCGATAAGAATTCGCCACGATGCGATCTGTTCGTGAAATCTTTTGGAGAGAGAGAGAGAGAGAGAGAGAGAGAAAGAGAAAAAAAGAGATCGGCTCGAGCGAAAGCAACGGTGATATCGATGAGCGAATTGAACCGCGTGGCTTCTTATCTGTTGCGAACGGTGACGCAACCAGCAGCGCAATTAATAAATCTCTCTGGAGGTTAGATAGAGAGAAAGGATCGCGTCATTGTAGCGCAAAGTCGTATAAATTTTTTTAACATCTCAATCGAACGACCGAGCGGCGACATTTGGTCATTTCATTTGTTTCTCGAGAGCGTGTCAATTAATGATAAACGGCCACGTGAAAATCTTGGCATTCCATGGAAAGCCCATCAAGGAAACCACGTAATCGATTGACATTCCCTATGGATGAAATTGACATGTGACGATAAAAGTATAAAATTATCATGAATGACACGCCAAGTGACGTGCAATGGACGAGACAACAATGAAACAATAACACGCTGGAATCGATGTTTTATAGATACAATTATTGTATCGTGTAACAATTTTTTTTGGACCTTCAGTGATTTTACTTACAATGATTACGATATGAAATTCTAAGAAGCTAGAAGAACGAAGAGAGAAGAATTTATTGTCTGTTCTAAGATATTTACAGGAAAAACGTCATGTCAATTTGTAATTAATAGGAAAAAGATAAAATACAGATAACTGTAAAAATAGAGAATGTTCTACCGAGATACAGACAGAAGCGGATGTCATCTTAAGATATGGAGGAGAAGAGAGAAACAAATGAAATGACCAATGCTAGATTTGTTGGACAAAAAAATTGGACACCTAGCGCTTTCAATTCCATTGAAAGATATTTCAATATCTCGACGTTTCGATGAACTATTAATTTTCTGCATTTTCTGCAAATTTCATATTCGTTCTTAACCACTTGGCAACTGATTGCGGACCGTAACGAGTGACCAAATACAATAATTAGTCGCTTTCTTTTTGAACTAGATAGAAATTATTGAGAAGTAATAAATTTATTATTTGTTTTGCCTATTTTGTTTTACTTAATATACTTAAAACTGAGAAAATATTACAATTTTGGGACAAAAAATTCTCGACGTGCGTGGCAGGAGATTAATAAATATCTGATGCTTTGTAAAATCCGTTTCACAAACGTTTCAATGTGTAAAATTTTAGAAGTACACATATTTCTAAAATTTCAATAATGAACATATTCAAAGTCACTCTGCAGAGTCTTCTTCAGCTACCTAATTATCATATTTATTTATTCTTTTTATCAATATCTATCAACTGTGTGTACGTTAAGATTAAATTAAAGAAATTCATTTGCATTTCATGCTGAAATAATTTAAAAGTATTCACGTACCTATGCACGATAGTTGTATCTAACGTGTCTAACTATTAAAGAATGAAAATGAATATTTTTTTCAACTGTTATCGGTATGATTGTCATTTAAAAAGAAATGTACAACAATTTTAACCACTGTCATTCCATCCCCAGGGCGTAGTGAAAAATTTCTGTCGTGGATTCCTTCGGATTTATTTCAAAAGCGTAACGGACGTTTACGTAAAAATACAATCCTGTCTTGATAAAAGAAATCGATATATCGATGTCAACGAGCGGTGGTCTGTTTTTCATAACGATATCCATTAGCGCCATGCCGTGTTACACTCGCGAAGAACATCATTCAACTGATATTCCTTTGAGATATTCCCCAATTTTTATGTTATTTAATACTCAGGTAAGTAAGAAAAAATATCGAGCTTTTGGGGGAACGAGAAACAAATTTTTTTGTTTTTATGATCGTGTCTCCTGAAATAAAAGCTTTTTGCGATAAAAAAAGAATCTTTATCTTTACGATTGAAAGTAAAAGTCTTTGTCTAAAACTAAACTCTTAATCTATCCTGAATTATCCAGCATATATAATAGATTTAAAAATTGCACAGTTCAGTCATTCCTATCATTCTGATTTGCACAGTCTAGAAGAAGAAAGAAGAAGCAGTAAAGATTGTTTCAATTCAACTTTGTGCTAAGAAAAACGTAAGCCCAAGACGTTGTTGCACTTTTTTTTCTTTTGGCTGAGGCACGTTCTTGGCATTTTAATTCAATGAAAAATATGTTTGTTGTATCTAAGGTCAGTCTCCCTCGACACGGATAAACGTATACTTATTACAAACACAATTCAGCTGTTAGTGCAACAAAACTGACTTCGGGTCATATATTATCGACTGCTTCTTCTTCTTCTTTTTTTTTTTTTTTTTGTCACTCTAGGTCAAAGCCATTGTAATAATAATATGTTGCTTTATTTATTGTGTCTTTGGAAATGTATTGTAAATCGTTTGTTTCTTCATGTTCAATCGAAATTCATTCCAATCAAAGTTATGATAACTAAACTGCGGATTTTTATGCTGATTCACATTTTCGAGAATATGATTTAAAAAAAATGGAAATACGGAGAAAACTTTTGCATTATATAAAACATTGTACATTGGATATGTTATATATATATATATATATTTTTTTTTCATTAAATGCAATAAACGCAATCTTATAAATCCATAAAAATCGATAATCTATCGATAACAAAAATATATTTTTTTATATATATTTTATATATACTTTATAATTATTTATATATACTTATACATATATTATATATATATATTTTATAATATATGTTCGATTTAATGAAAACAGCAGAAAATGATTGTTGATTTTACAACTAAATGTTCCGTTCTTTTTGCTTTGATATTCTTTTTTAGGAGGGATCATCCTAATCTCAACACAGTTATAAAAACGTTCTTAAACAACCAATTTATCATCATAATCCGAGACAAGCAAAAAATCCAACCCACTAATGAATATCTGTCAAAGGTTATAACTTTTATCTAATTGTCTAATCATCTAATTAAATTACTTAATTATTGCTAATTGTCCAATTATCTAGTTTAATTATTTTATTAAAATCCTGTCCAAAAATCCACTTGATAATGCAATCTATTTAATGTCCATCAACAATTCGATTCTTAATAAATTATCTTAAAAGAAGGACAGTTATCCATCAATAAATACAATCCCTATCAACTTTATTTCTCAAAGAAAGCAATCCAGAAGAAGATATCAAAATTAAACGAACAAGTAAACAAAAGTGTAAAAAAATTACCAATTAACTCTAGAATTACTGGCAACTAAAGTCTAAAATCTCCATCAGAGACATTCAAGTACTCTGTAGTACAATAGACATGTAAGCTTTTGTTTATCTATTTTATGAAAAATCATTTCAATTTCCACACCTATAAGATTTCTAATAAAAATTACAAATTAGTCATTTTGACCAGTTTGGTAGTCAAAGAATAAGAAGTATGAAAGAGTAGAGTATCAAGATCATGAAAATGTTTGGACACTTAACCCTAGAAAACTAATAAGTATATATTATACATGTTCAACAAGACGTATTGAAATTTCATTAGCATTATAACTAGATATGCCATGATTGTATTGACGAAATTTAAAAGTAGTCTGAAAATATATATTAAAGTTGCAAGATATTTACTGCAAATATAATAAAAAAAAACTTGTATACGATATACAATAGAATAACCATATTAACGATTGACTGTTTAAGTTACTTCTTGATATTTCTATACAATCTCACAACTTACAATAATACAGTAATATACATTTTCAATATACGTTTCAAACTGTGTATAATGTTGTAATCACGATAATTGGCTCGTAATAATGCCAGCGAAATATCAAGGTTTATAAATAATATATCCATAAAGTTTCTAAAAATATTGCTGTACAACGTCATCACCGGCAGGCTGTTAGGGACATCGATGGGCCACGTGGTTCCATGACATGATTTGCCAAACGACGATCGGCAATTTTACGAATGACAGAGCGGTCCTGAGCCGGGTAGGCCCAGGGCCACACGGAGATGTCGCTTATGGCCGATTATCGGGGGTGTTTGGCATCGTAAATAAGCGCAAGCCGTGACGATCCAATTAGCCAGGAAGCCGTTTCGCTGGCGCGTCTGCCGGTGTTCTGGGACCGACTTCTCCCCTGGGAGAAGCACGGTGACGGGACCGGGTGGCACAGCCTCGATTATCGCGGCCCGTGTTGCAACAAGCCACACCACGAGCACCACGTCTCCTCTCGGGATCGAGATCGACTCGCTGTCGCAGTCTCCACGCGTCCTACAACTGCGAAGCGTCCAAGAGGGTAAACCTCGACAGTCGTCGCGCCAACAAGTTTTCTAGGATATTTATCTCAAGTCATTCCAAATCCAGGATCTGTTTCTTAAAAATTTTTGGTTTCGCCAAAGGAGACAATTCGGAATAGATTTCACAATAATTCGATATTTCTTCCGTTGATTGTTTTATCCAAGGTCTTTTCCAATGATACATCAGCTATAATTTTGACTTGACTGAGGAAGTCAAGAGGTAGTCTGTAGTTGATGACAATTTGGTGTTTCAATGAAATTATTAAAAGAGATTTGAAAACTTATATTGTTATCGTAAGTTAAATGGATTCTATCGTTGTAAAAAGCTCCGGGGTTTAGTTTTTGTCGAATTGAGAATGGCAGCGGTTTGACACTTGCAAGATTAGAAAGGAGCAGTTTGAAAATTTGAAAGAAGAACGATTGGCGGTGTGCCGATTTGTTGTCGATTTGATGATCGCGTGCAGTATCAAGAACCTTGTAACAGTGGCAATCGGAAGTGATAGTACGCAGGGGAAATCAAGACAGTGATTAATGGTGGTGAACTAATTGCATATAAAGCGCAAATAAAGAAGACAAATAGAGAAGAGCGGAACGTCACGGACTGCGTAGTTTTGCGAGATATCGGTTTCGAATAGATACAGCTTCGACTAAACGACAAGATGATAGAAGAGACTGCAATGTTCGATGTGAGTAAAAGTTAACAACCGACGTGGCTGTGGTAAAAATCACAGAATTACAACAGAAGAACAAATAGCTATCATTCACGAATAATTCACTCTCGAAATTTTTCATTTCGCTATCCGAATTTCTTCGCTTTTTTCATTAAATCCTAATAAAGGAAGTTCCTAACGCGATCATCGACATCTTACTGACCATACGCGGACAAGGAATAAAATTTGAAGAATAGCCCCGAAAAAAAAAAAAAAAAGTAAGAGCAGTCGTCGTGTTACGTTTCCCTCTTTCTCTCAACGCCGATAACTCAAAATAGAATTGAATGTTAATCAACAGATATAGAATGTTCGCGCCGCATGACTTATTGTCGGTATCACCAAGAAACCGTTTAATCCCAGACAAGCAACTCTCGCAACAATAAACAGTTTCGTAAAACAGTGTTGCTCGTGAATCAATCATATTTTTCTTTCTTTTCTTTTTTTTTCTTAAGCCATCATCGTTGCAACGATTCTTCGTTACACCGTACAGGGAATTTTATTTTATTTCTATTTCATTTTTTTATTCTTGTCGTAGATGACAGACGAGTTGTTATTTTCCGCGTTGGGCCTGACCATGGACACAGGTGTCGAGAGGCAACTGTTCCCCGCGAGCTCAACGACCTTTACCTATGACTATGAAGCGTCCTCCTGCAGAACGACGCCGCGCAGCGACGACTCGGAATCCATCGACGCGCAATCGAATAATATGGGGAACATGATCGAGTGTTACACAGATTTGACTTGCCCGGCGAAAACATCTTGGAACGAGTGGTCTGATAATTCGATGCCATTGTTAGGTAGGTAGTGAGAAGAAGAATGCTCTTTGGTACTGACAGAATAAAACAAAGGATTAATATTTGAAAATATAAAACGCAACAACAGCGGGTGATGTTTTATTATTGAATTTCTTAGTAGCTTAAAATGATAATAAAGTATTTATCGTTGAATTGCTAATTGAAACCCTTGCTTTCAAAAAGAATCTCTGCCAATTCCCAGTTCTTGGTTAATCAATGATTGATAAAATCAAACACCATTTCTAACTAGGCACAGGATGTTTGAGCGAACTGAGCGAACTGAGCGAGTTAGATTCGGAGTTGGAATGGTGTTTAGATAGAAGCTGGAACTCTGGACTACCAGAGAGGACACCGTTGTGCACAGCAGGCTGCGAGGGTTTTCTACACCTTCCTCTGCCTAACCCACAGCAAACGTTTCAACCAGAGGAACCATTATGGGTGCTTGGGATCGACTTGAAAGCGCTCGATGATACCTTGGAAACTAACGGAATAGGTAAGTTTCAAGCACCTCCCAGGATTATCGTACTACAGAGAGCGCTTAGATTGAAATTCGTATCGATTGAGTTGTCCTAAACTTCCGAATGTAAATTGACGAAGCAATTCAATTAACCTTCTTGATATCCTTTGAAACGATAAAGAAGTTGTTTCAATTTAAAATAATAACGATAAACCTTTCCTATTGATTCAAGATTACAACAACAATCAAGTAAGAGAAACCATTTCATCAGCAGCTGCCGCAGCATTGGCAACCCACGACTATACTAATCGCAGTTTGGCGAATGCGGCGGAGGATCGATGTTTTCCTTGTACTTATCAAGGATGCGTCAAGGTACGCTACATCATAATAGTTAACAACTATCAGAATACAACAGAATATACATATATCAGAATACAAAAGCTACAATCGGTTATCTAGTCGTTCTTTTTAACTTCAAATATTCAAACGAAATAATTCTTTTTCCAGGTCTATGCAAAAGCATCTCACTTGAAAGCTCATCTACGTCGGCACACGGGTGAGAAGCCATTTGCGTGCACGTGGTCCGGTTGCGGATGGCGTTTCAGTCGATCTGATGAACTAGCCAGGCACAGACGTTCGCACTCTGGCGTAAAGCCTTACCCTTGCGAAATGTGCTCAAAAAGGTTTGCGCGAAGCGATCACTTGGCCAAGCATCGCAAAGTGCACAGAAAGAATGCGTATCCATTATTTCATGGAGGAAGGGGTCTACGCGGAGGAAAGATAAATTCAATTCTACCAGCGGAAATTTAGCCAATTTATCTTACATAACGTAATTAACGAAAATGGTATTGAACGAAGAGGCGTTGGATGAATGTTCTTTCAGATTTCTTGAATCTGAAGATTCTGCAGATTCCTGCTTGATAATCAATGAAAAAAAAAAAAAAATCGAAAAGAGATATCACGTGTCATTCTTGATGCACGAAAAACTATAAAAAATTTTCATGAAGCTGAAGTTTGATGCATATAAAATGAGACGATTGATGAAGGTGACAAAAGAGATTAAATAAGATATTTTCTATATTTTTCTTTCACGATGTTTGACAATAAATTGTTGAAAGTACGATAAACTACTTGTTAATTATTTAGTACGATTTTAAGCAAATTGAAATAGTTGTACAATATAACGCTATTTAGAACCAGGCTGTGAAAACCCTCAAATGATTAACACGAAATGCATTGCTATATGTACCTGTCGTAAATGTAACTGAATGTAGACTTACCTTATCTTTGAAGAACGGTCTCCGAGGATTGACAGTTTTACTATGTTTTCTCCACGTTCCCCAATAAGGAGGTCGTTGATTTTCAGAAAATTGTAATAATTTAGGTCGCTGCTTTTCTACAATAACATTTTGGTTCACAATATTCGAGCTGCCATCGTTGTCTTCTTCTACAAGGAAATAATATACAATTAACTGTAACATGTAATTGTATCAATAACTGCTAAAGAGAAAAATATTTACCTAACAAAATCACATCATCTTTTGTTTCGAGCGGCCAAGTTTTCGATGATTTACGTGGAACGATTTTTTTATTCTTGAGCTCACTAAGATACAAATCTATCACTTGTATACTTCCTTTATTATATTTTTCATCTAATAATAATTTCTCTTGTTCAGTCAAGAGTCTCCTACAGACTGGAGCTATCTTCATGTCTCCTTTTACTTCAAAAGGCATGAAATTCTTCATTTCGCTCGTACTTTCGTTCTCGACAGATTTTTCTTGTTTCTTAGCGACGAAAAAACTGGTAAAAGTCGTCGCTGCTTTCTGTTTCTTGCGCTCTGCTTCCAGTCTTTCTTCTTCTTTTTTTCTTTTTTCTTCCTCCTTAGCTTCTTCCTTTCTTCGACGTTCTTCTTCCCTTGCTTGTTTTTCTTTTTGTTTTTGTCTGTAAATATATACTACTGAAAACTGACAGTTACAATTTTTACAAAGTTATGATTGCTAGAATAGTAAATATTCGTACTCGATTTCCATTTGTTTCTTTTGTTCTTTCATTTTCTTTTCCATCAGTTTCTGTTCTCTTTCGACTCTTTCCTTCTCCTCTTTTTGTTTTCGTTTCTCTTCTTTTTCTTTCTTACGATTTTGTCGTTCCTCTTCCATTTTCTTCCTCTTCTCCTAATAAACAAATAAAAAGATACATTAAGAATTAAATCAATAAAATAAAATAAGTACATTATAAATACTTTAATCTACCATTTGTAATAATTTATTTTTTTCCCTTTTCTTAGCACTTAATAATTTCCTTTCTTTGCGTTCAGGTGTTAATTTTTTCTGTTTTGCTTCGTTCATCTTAGGAGTTGTTGGTGTACTAGTAATTGACTTTGTTTCTTCATCTTTATCTTCAGAATCCGATGATAATATTACAAGATCAGAATCAGATCGAGATAAAGAATTATTAACAGTTGAAGATAAATCTTCCACTGTATCATTTAAACTATTTGTTTCTGACCTATTCATATCAATTTCAATTACTTTTTTAGAGTTATCCTCAATTGCTTCAACTATATCATCCTTTTCTTCTTGCAAAGAAATTTGAGACTCCTCCTTTGAGCTATCTTTTTGTTTATCAGTCTTTTGAAAAAACTTCGTTAAAGGACTTGATTTTGACTTCTCCAATTTTTTCTGTCCAGTTGAAATTCGTTTTGGCGTTTTGCTTTTACTCTCAGATTTTTTCTTATCAGATGCATTTTCTTTTGCATTTTCAGTTTCCGCATCCTCTATTATTTCTATTTGAGCGATATCTTTATTTTCTGTATTAATATCTATATTAACTGGTTCATTATTTGCATTATCTGTATCCAAATTTTTCAAAATTTTAATTGTTTTTGGACTTTTACATTCTACAGAAGGTGATGATAGTTTCCTCTTTTTTCTTTGTAGAACAACATTTGGAGACTGTACTGCGCTTCGCATTTGAAATGGCAATTGTGCTACAATGAAATTTCAAATTGCATGTTATTTTATTAAACATTGCAAAAATTAGTTATATTATTTTTGAAATAAAAATTAAATACCTTGTTTTAACTTCTTTTTTTTTACAGAAGTGATTTCACAATCATCCTCACTGCTCACCATTTTCATGTCAGTAATGCTTCATGTCAGAAAAGGAAGACAAGAAAATAATTATTCTATTCAATACTTAGCCAAAAATAACGAATAAACGAATAAAAACGAATATTTTGTCCTTGTCTTACCTAAATATATGCAAATATCCAATTTTTTTTACAACATTACATTAACTAACAAAGGAAATGACGAATCTGTCAATGATACATTATTATAACCTAATAATTTAATTATTTATTAAATGAATATAAATGGTACGAAAAACAAAGAAAAACGTGTATTAAGTATGTACAAAGTCTAAGATTAAAATAATATATATATACACTCAAATATTTTACTGTTCAAGGCACTATCTTTACAAACACAACACATTGAAAACATATCACTGTCGGATCACAATTATAACAAAATCGGCGGGAAATAGACATAGAAAGGGAAAATTTTCATGCAGTGTGTACTTTCACATTCATTTTACTAGATTCGTAACTTCCAATGGATCTAGCAAAGAGCCTGATCAATTGGTTAAGATTCAATCAATTAACATCTCGTATTTTATATAGTAAATGTAGAAATATAGATTATATAATGATTATTAATTATTATTCGATTAGTTTTCTCTTTCGTTTAATAAATCAACACTGAAACATTCTATTTTCGTCAGTGTTACATATCTAGTGATTTCACAGTGATTGGCATCCATGAAACTAAACTACTTCATAGAGGGCGTGAGAAGTATAAAATCAACTACGATGCAAAGATGACTTTTATTACGGAATAACTGAATCGAATTATACACTCTTTAGGAGACTAAGAAGTACTGATTTGAAAAGATCTTCTCTTCTTTTCTCATTTTCTTTTTTATTCTCGTCTTTTCTTCCGAATCTTTTTTCTAGTTCTCTACGATTTAATTATCAGCTGTATCTCGTCGATTGAACATTTTCTTGTATTTGTTATTACAGTTGCACACTTTATGATAAAATTAAATTTCCACAATGATATAATACAAAGAATGATTATTTATACACAGACGATTTCAAAATTCGCTCCTAGTTTCTATATCGATATCAACGAACATAAAGCCAAGTTCACGCGATGCCGTGACACGAGGAGCCGTGTATGTATTTACCTTTCTCCGCTAGATGACTCGTTGATAACTACGTTCGTTCTCGATGAGTATCGGATACCGATCGGACGGCTTACGAAGCCGTTTGGTCAATAAGAAGCTCCTCGCGAAACTCAAGAAAGCATAATGTACATGTGACGCGAACGAAGTATCGTGTATCGGTTCGGTACGCGGCCAGTGCCCAATAACTCTGTCAAAGAAGGGAATGTTAACGGCGATGAAATTCTGTGACAAATAAGGGGGAAACAAGAACAGTGCTGACATACTGGGATCGTAGGTGTAACGACAAGTCGCAGTAGGGTGTTCTTTCTATAGAACGGAGGAAAGAAAAGGTCAACCCTTGTCTGGATTCTATCCGATGTGCCGGCGCCCCACTCCCGCTCATTGTTTGTCCTTTAAATCTAATCCCTTAAACTACGTATTCGAGGGTAGCATGCCGCATACTATGCAAGTCTATTATCGTCGTTGTCATTGTCTGGGAGGTAAGATATGATATCACCGTAGCAATAGTCACGCACATATATTTGCAGATATATTCGAAGATAATTTCATAGACATTGTGAAATAATTTAATCTTATCACGGAATTGGCTTTTTACGAATTATCTTGGTGTCTAGTAGCTGTATTATCCCTCTCGAGTACCCGAAAGGATTCTATTCTCGAATTACACATTCGTGCACAAAGTAGAGAATAATAAGCTTTCTCTATGGGATAGTATGATATAATGATTTCTCAATAATTAGAAAGATTCGTACATTACGACGTTTATCATCAGTCTCTGACTCGAATACCGAATCGATTGTCAATAAGCTCCATGCACGCCATACTACACGTCATATTTACAACGCGGTATACTCGGTGAATACAAACGATGAATTGATTACCGTCGCTTAAATCGAATGATGTTAATTGTAGGAAATTGAAGAACATTCGATATAACGTCAGAAAACTGTTGTCTGATAATTTTTTATATTTACGATCGATGTAATTTATAACATTGAACGGGGAATCCTGAATTTTATAAAATAGTTTGTGAGAATAATTAGTAATTGTTCGAAAAGAAATCATAAGACAAAACAGAATGCATAAATAATTTGCTATTTTAAAACATAATAAGATATTAATTATGTTTTAATGTAGAAATCAAATTTTTACAAAATAATAAATGGCTGTAAATAAAATATTTTGATATTTAAATAATAATCAGAATTATTAGAGAAATTAATAATACATAGAGAAACTTTAAGGGATGAATTTAATAGAGCAATATATTGTTGTTTCAGTTACATTTTACAACTTGAATCAATTTTAAAAATTCATTTTTGGATACAATATCCTTATTGTATCTATGATTTAATTCCCAAGTTGATATTAACAAATTCAATATGTATGCATTAAAAATGCAAACTGCCTGTCAAAGCGAGGGCAGTGGGGAGCCTGATGATTCAAGTAGTCATCATCAAGAACCTGCTAGGCCTCCAGCACAGGATTGTAGTTCATTTGACATTGTTCGAGCAACTCAAGTAATTAAACTTTGAGTATTATTATTTTTGTAATTATTTGATGCTTAGCTGTTTAAAAATGGAAAATTTATTCTTTACAGTATGGAGCTTTGGACCGTGTGACTGAATTAGTAGAAGCTGGTGCTGATGTGAATCAGCCAGATTCAGAAACTGTAACATTATTACATTGGGCAGCAATAAACAATCGAAAAGACATTGTAAAATATTTAATTGCAAAGGGAGCTGTTGTGGATGCAATTGGTGGTGAACTTGCTTCTACACCACTGCATTGGGCTACAAGGTTAATTCTACATTATATGATTTAAATTTATTTTATAATAGAATTTAATAAGTTTTTCAAATGAAGTAAATCATTCTTTTCAGACAGGGCCATTTATCTACAGTTGTAATATTAATGAGAGCAGGAGCAGATCCAACTCTTAGAGATTCAGAAGGTTTCTCATGTATTCATTTAGCAGCACAATTTGGTCATACCTCTATTGTTGCATATCTAGTTGCAAAAGGAGTAAATCCTAATATGCCAGATAGAAGTGCAATGACACCCCTTATGTGGAGTGCCTATAAAGTTAATAGGTAAATGTGAGAAAACAACAAAAATATTTATTCGTGATAACACTTATTTAGAATTACATTATATTGTTTACTTTGAAGTCTTGTCTTTTACAGTTTAGATCCAACGCGCTTGTTATTAACTTTAGGAGCGTCTCATTCGCTAGCAGATAATTTACATGGTAATACTGCTTTACATTGGGCTATTATAGCAGAAAATAGTACAGCAATATCAACACTGGTTCATCATGGTGCATCTTTGGATGTGCCCAATATTCGAGATGAAACACCAATGACGTTATTGGGTCGTCATATTGGTGCTGCTTGGTTAGGACATAAGATCAGTCAAGAAATCAGAGAAAAGCAAGGTAGAACAAGACTATGGTGTAGAGATAAGGTGTGTATTTTAATTGTTTTTATCTAATTACATTCTTTATAATTTTAATGTTTTTTGCAGAGAATACGCTGGTATTGTATGGTCAGTACACCATTCATAGTTTTTTATGTCATTGGAATGATTTTTCAAAGTGGATTGGATTATCTAGTAAAAATAGGTGCCTTTATTACTCTTTACATAGCACTGTATTTAGCTAATCATTTCATCTTTGATGAACGATTATTTCATATTGTACCAATGTCAATCTATTTGGCTACAAAGGTGAATATTTAAAGAAGTGTATCATATTAATTACTACTTGTACTTATATATAGCCTTAAGATTAAATAATGTTATAAATCTTGTATGTATATATAATAGTGATTAGATTATATCCGATATCAGTTTTTGTACAATTGATACGAGTGTCTTATCAAAAAAACATATTAGATACAATAAGTGCCGTATCATGGGACATAAGAAAATTGAATTAATAACAATATTAAACAGCTCTTTCAATTTTTCCCACTATCGTCTGTTACAGATGTGGATATATGTAACATGGATATTTTGGTTAGGCATACATGCTGCATGGTATTTGTGGTTACTATTAGTAGGCGGATCTGTACCACTTTGGATATGTTTCTTACAATCTTGGAGAGGCGATCCAGGTGTAATTACAGCTACACATGAAGATAAGTTAAATGTAATAATCTGTATATTATGATTATATTATCTGTAAATGAAGTGTACTCTTCAATTTTTCATTTTTATTTCAATTTTTCGTTTTCAGACGATTATAGAGTTAGCAGAGTCCGGTGGTTTTGAACCACAATCGTTTTGCAGCAGTTGTTTAGTTAGAAGACCTATGAGATCTAAACATTGTTCTACATGTGATCGATGTGTAGCACGATTTGATCATCACTGTCCTTGGATTAATAATTGTATTGGTAAGTCGAAAAACTTCCAGAAAATAAATTTATTATATTAATAACATATACAACTAGTTTCAAATTGTATTAGCTTTAGGCCAAATCTAATTTTCAAATAACGTAGTTGTACTTATAATTTTTAACACCTGTTTTTTTTTCTTTTTAAAAACTTAGGTGCGCATAACCACAAGTATTTTCTGGGATTTTTAGCATCATTATTAGGCCTCTGTATTGTTATTTTATCCGCTAGTGTACAATATTGGCAATTTGAATGCTGGACAAATTTAACAAATGGGCATAGCGCTGATAATTATCTAGTTGCTGCAGCTACATGCGATGCTTGGGTAATGTGGGTCGCAGCAAATACGGCTCTTCATTTCTTTTGGGTCGGCACACTACTTGCTTGTCAGTGTTATCAGGTTTGTTAACTTTTTTTTTTTTCTTTATCTTTCTACAATCAACCAAACCGTGATAGTTTCTTTTTCTTACTATAATATATATTTTTCATTTATTAGATTATGGTTCTTGGAATGACAACGAACGAGCGTATGAACGCCGGACGTTACGCGCATTTCAAACAAGGAAATCCTTTTCATCGTGGTGCTCTTCAGAATGCCGCAGATTTTTGCAATTTAAGCTTCTGCGGAGTAAAAGCAAAACCCAGCTCGGACTGGTTGCATAGCTTTGATCATAAACAGAGCATCGAAAAGTTACCTCTCCTTGCTACGAAAGACAACTTTCAATATATTTAGAATTTTTCTTAAGGAGAATTTCATGGAGAATAATATAATTTTGCCATCAGAAGCTAATATAGTGTGTCATATCATTTACGTCTGAAGCATACTTTCGAATTACCAAAGAGTTACTACGAAATTAGAAATGATTTTCAAGGGAGGTAGTGATTTTGCATATACAGATTTAAATTGCATACTATAAATAATTTCTTACATTTAATGAAATACAAATTTTAACATTCGTCTACCGTAAAAGACTGTTCTACAATGTAAGTATGCATATCTCACATTTGTGTATATTCTTCGTTTCGAATATGAAACAGAAGAACACGTTGCACAAGTACTTTGACTCTATTTTTACAACAAATTGTGAACCAAGATTTTTTTTGTCTTTGTATATTATCACTACAGTTTACGTGATGTAAACGAAATGTTAATATAATTGATTAAAAAATAATTTACTTTATATCACGTTGTAAATATCTATAGTTTTCATGAAATTGTTAAAAACATAAATATTAATGTTTTTTTTAAATTATACGTTTTTTACTTTATTTTAGATGCTAAATATTGTAACAAGTATCAGGTTCAATTTATAAATAATTGAATTAATTAATTTGTAAGTACAATTTTTATCGTATTAGAAAACTAATATCTTTACACAAAAAAAAGCCATGACAGCCAGGTTAATGAGATCAGTACATAACTGATATTATTTATTACAATTATTTATATTTCGTAGTTTTTAATTTCGTTATAAAGTTTGTGACAGAAATAAGAATAGCAATATTGTCAGTTTTCGCTAAGTTAGAATGTTTTCATATTAAATTTGAATGAAATATATAGAAAAGAAACTTAAGTTTCGTGAAATTATCAAAGACTATTACTAACGAAAAGTATGGCATATTTATGTTAAAAAATTAACGAATTATTTTAATCCAAAAATGAAAAATAAACGTTGCGCAACATTATTATAAATATATGCATATTACTGCATATTACTGTTGGCAATATAATTTGTCTTTCGTACTTGTGAATAAGTTTACCTGATTTAAGTGCCATACTTATGTTTCTAAAAAAAGAAAAAAAAAAAAACAATTGTATTATTATGTTGTTTATATACTACATATATTTACACACGTACATATTTATATATATGCTCTAACTTTGTAAGATTTGAGTAATATTGCGTGTTGTATCTAATCTGTCATTGCATTATGTAAAAAACATTTTAACGATAGCATAGTCTATATAAAATTGTTTATAATGTATGTTTTAATAGGTGTCATTCTTTAATATATCATAAAATTTCAAAAAGTTATATTATTAATTATATAGAGAAATATCAAATATAGAAAAAAAAGAAAGGAGAAAAATACGAGCCTGATACATTTTTGTACAATTACATTTGTGATGATGATTGTTAATAGAAAATAATCGTCGGACGTTACTTTACATTCCAGAAATGTACTTCAATGTATAATTGCGAATTTTTCTTTCGTCTCTAGTGTGTGATTAAAAATGTATGCTCACTTTTAATTCAAGTTTATCAGCATTATTCACATGCATAAACGATTGGAGTGCACTGTTAAGGTTGCAAGTGCTATGTCAATTCTACTTTCTAACATTGTTAGGCATAAGTATTAAATATTAATACTATGAAAGTTGCGTTGCGCGCACAATTAACGCAAGAAAACATTCTATAATTAATTGCATCCTTAACAGAATCGGACTCAACTTAATTTTATTAAGATTTAATTCAAAATAAAAACCCATGTTACGAACATTTTTATCAGTGATTCCGTTCAATCAGTTATTAAGTATAAGTATTAAATACTCAAGTTAAAAAGAGTGCATATGTTTTTAACATTGCATTTCCAATAGGTGCCTAAATGTCTAATTACATTATCTTACATAAATTTATAAAAAAAAAAGAAAACACTCTGAGGATTGATCAAAAGTCGCTTAAATGTGTTTGAAATTTAAGTTCTAATTCGTTAAGTAAGTAAGTTTACGAATAGTTTGACATAGACAAATGTTTCTCCAATTTATTAGTTCTATCTGGGTTAAATAATATCATGTTCCTGATAACAATGATAACAATTATATCATTTTATCAATTGTACTATATAATTCCATTGTTTTTTACATTGTTTTAATTTGCGCGATAACGACAGTTTATGTACAAATCATTTAATTTTATTATGTATATAACTGAATTTATTTCCATTTTCATAACTTGACAGTTTCCTTTGTAAGCCTTTAATGTAAAAATACGCATGTACAGGACAAAATTAACATTCGGTACATTTATCAAACTGTCATTTGTTAAGAACAAGTTTTCAATTTTGACTGCTTGTACAGAATGTTAAAAGCTGTTTGTACAAAACGTTGAGGCGTGCATATATAAGAGTAATATAATATAGATTCAGTCATGCGATGATATTAAGGAATGAATACTCTATATCAGAATTATTGCAAAAAACATCTGTATAAATATTATAAATATAAATGTAAGTTAAATGTAATTACTTTATAACTGACTTAACTACTTATTGAATGAATGTGTTAGTCAAACATATGATTTTCCTCGAATATGGTACGTGTTTAGTATTTACGCATATTTCCAATCTAGTCCAATTGATATTAAGATAATCTGGTATTTAGATTATGTTTATCTCGCGTGAACAACGAGATACAGTCGATTTATGTATAGCAGGTAGTTTCTCTTATTTTCTAAGCGATTGAGTCTATAAAACAAGAAGAAGAATTGTGTAGTTAATGACACGTTATCAACGAATAAAAAGCATTGAAATTGTATTATAACATTCTGAGAAACTTACAAATAAGAAATAGATGAATACAATATAGAGAGGTTTTTATAATTAACATTTTCAAACATTTAATTTGTATGTTACAAGAATTGTTTGCTTTGAAGATGTATAAGAAAGTTGAAATGATGCATTAAATATACACAGATTAAGATTTGAAAAGGATTTGATCTAGAAATATGTGAGCATTTGAACGTTTAGGTACTAGTTGAAGTTTTTTGTGAAAAACGATTAAACATAGTTATATATAATCTTTTTGCGACTTGTTATAAATTTGAAAAATTATGAAACTCCTCGCAAACATAGATGAATTTACAGCTATTGTATCGAATCGTATTAAATTAATACTATTAATCTAATTATAACACTCTACTTCTGACTAACACGCAACCAATGTAAATAACTTTTACTTTGAACAACTTGTTCCAAGAACAAGAACATTTTTAGCTAATCGCAAAAAGAATTCAATCAAAGTTATTATATGTTGTGTAACAAATAAAAGAAAAGATATAAATGATTAAATTTATCGACTATCATTGTTTCACTATTTACATTTCGATTCGATTAGTGAAATATATTTCTGTGAATTTTCCTTCTTTGAAAGAATTTGACTTTATGGAATTACTGAACGTTAAATGTTGCCAACAGTCAGAAAAATTACGATTCTGGCATTACAAACATATGAATGTAATTAATTGTTCTATGCAATTGCTGTCACTTGACAGTTTAATTTCGTTTTAGTTCAAGTTACGTTCAATTTCAAGTTTTGTTCAATTTCTTTTCAAGAAATGTGTTTATCATGGTTTCTGGTGAAGATTGTTCATGTACCGATGCAACAGAATCTTCGAACATAACATCTTTGCAGTCGGACCCTATTTATTTGACTAATGCCAATGTCAAAGAACCTCTTTACGATATTGCGACGAGAGAGCACAATACTTTTCAACAATTTAATTGTAGGTAGACAAAGAATTTAATCAACGGAAATTGCTAAAATTTACGTATAAATGCTATGTTATTTATTAAGTTAAAGACTGTAAATGTCGAGAGATACATCACGGAGCAACGCCGGAACAGTGTGCAGTAATAACGGGAACAATACAGGAATCGTACAAGAAAGATTCACCGAAAGATAAATGTTCGAAGGAACCATCGTCAAAGCCATGTTTATGTCACGCTCACAAGATGTAATAGAAATATTTTCATTCGTGTAACGATTATCAGTTAATCTTTTTTTCTTTCACTTTCTAGCAGAGCTTATACTTTACCTTTGAAGTGCAGAACTGGTAATTACTTCAGCTTCTTAATTTGCCCATGCTGTAACTATTAATGGCAACTTCTTTGATTTTTGTTTTACATTTGAAAACGAGTTATATACTTCTTAATAATGTGTTTAATACAATTTTAATTAACAGAATGTAAACGATTTACCGATTCCTTTTTTTTTCTTCTTCTTTTTATTATTTACATGTCCATTTCGCTAGAAACATAATATTTCAGATAGATCAGGGCTATTTTCGTGTCCTTTTAAATGGCGATGGCGAAGAAAGGAAAGAAAAGATAAAACGTACGAAGTGAAATTAACACCGAAAAAATGTCCCCATTATGCGGAGGTAGATTACAATATACACATTAGTAGAATAACATTACTTTATTTTTCCTTTTATTATTAAGTACGAACATTAAATATAAAAAGTATACAAACAATTATTATACTTAATGTGGATAACAATGCACTTCGTTTAGCCCTTCATGTGCTGCGAAATATCAGAAGGGATACCAAGTAAAAAGAAAACACCACCAAAGCCCGAAGAGAGAAAGGTAGAAGTAACAGAGAAAATTGACATCTATTACTTCGACCATGGGAATTCTGCGTAGGTACAACCACATATTTCAGTAGATGTCTTTTCGTCACTTATGATTTGTTTTTTTTATTATGCAGGCAAATATGCTCGTACATAATCGTTCGATCTTACAGTACCTAACAACAAAAAAAGAAAAAAAAAAAAAAAAAAAAAAAAAAA